GTGTCCTTGTGAACCCAGGAATATGAGGTGCTGATTCCTGACGAATCCATGTGATAAAGAAGGCATTTCTTTCATTTGCCTTATTTCCAGTGTTGCCAAACTGGAAACTTTAAGCCACCCTGTAAGTCGATGCTTATGGAGCTTGGCAGTGCAGAGCAGGTTAGGTTGCCATTCCAAATCAGAGGCACAAAGTTATGGGTTAGTGTATCAGAACGTGGATGCAGCGGGTTAGGTATGTGCCAGCCTTGGAGAATAGCTTCACATTGAAGGTTGCTGAAAATCATCTGTGTGGAAGTTTGGCCATGCAAACGTGAAAGCCCCACTGAGGCCCCGTCTGTGATTTGGCCCTTAATGTTCTCTCTCAGGCAGATGAGCAGCAAATGGTACATAAGGTCTGAAACAGATTCATTCTTGACCATCTGTTTTCATTCTTTAGCTTATTCTTGAGATGGCTTTTTGTGCTCTGCCATTGCTGCCTTTGTTCCCTTGGATCAGATGCTCTTGGATAAGTTGATCAGCCACAGAAGCTTTTTTTGATAGGTCTAACAAAGTATAACCACTCCTCAAGACTCTTCTTGCAGAGAGCATGTGCTAACTCTTGTGCTTTAATATCTTTGATTCAAGTAAGGTGGCATTCTCAATAGAGTTATAAAATACTTCCTTACAAAGCTCCTTTTGCACCTGCCTGAGAAGCTGATTCCTGTGTTGGTGGTGACCATAACCTGGCCTCTCTGGGCAGACCTCCGTGGAAGTGGTCTCTGTGCAGTTTGTTGTTGAACCACCACCAGTGTGTTGTGTGCTTTTGTAGCTGATGGGTGGGGGAGGAACAAAGCTAGGTGATTTTCACTGGAAAGGAGACAAAAATGTTTCCACTTAATTTGATTGGCCTGCCATTGCAGGAGCTGCTAATGATGTCTGCATGGGACTCGGGGGACCACTCAAACTGGTGGAGGGAATTATAAGAGATATTGCTAGTAACTTAATCATCTCCTTTGATGCTGTGTTAGAGGTTTTTATAGTGTCCACTGCTAGATGCTATGTAAGAGCACTTCTGAGGTAATTAGTGCCCTGTCCTGAAGGTGAATTTTTGCTTGGGGAGGGGAGTACCAGTGAAAACTAAAACCCATTAGCTTTTCTCTCAGGAAGTTTTGCTGGGCTAGAGAATAACATGATCTTAAGGCATTAATGAGGTTTAGCCTTGATGGGGGGAGCCCATTGTGAGAAAAAATCCTTGGTCTCTTCTGCCCGTAAGGCAGCGGTGTCTGTGGACAGGGGTGGGCTGGCTCCTTCTCTCCACGCCCATGGGAAGGCAGGGGTTGGTGTACCCTCAACACTAGAGCCTTTGTCAAGTGCAGTTTGGCTCCTTCTCTGGTGCAAGCAGCATCTTACCTTGCAAAGTCCCAAAAGACTCCATATTAGGAAAGGGAAGAGCAGCTCCCTTTGTCAGCACAGCTGCCAAGTTAAGTCAGAGACTGTAACTGAGACCCTGGCCCTTGCAGAGGGTGTCCTCCCAATTCTTGCTCACCTCCATGTGCTACTTCCTCATTCATATGCTGTGGTGACTTAAACTCCCTGGGTGCCCAATGGTTTAGTGTAACCTGGGGGAGAACACGTTCGTGCAGCAGGAGCAGTGTGTAGGGTAACGTACATCTGTTAAAAGTGAGGCCTCAAAGGTGCTGAAAGCCCTCTGATGGCCTAATAATAATTATTAATGCTAATAAAAATTATTGAACTCCTCACCTCCTGGCAGAAGGGTGGAATAATAACTACGGCGCCTTCGTTCAGTCAGAGATAAGAACGGGTCGGCCTTGTGCAAATCCTCCTTCCCGGAGCTCCGTCCTCTTCTTGCGTCCAGTCCTCTCTGGCTGCGTTTTTCTCGTCCTGAATTATGAGAGGGAAAGGGTTCTCCCCCCCTGCTCTCTCATGCTCCTGTGACAGGAGCGAGGGGGAGAGGGATTAGTGAGCTAATTAGAAATGATCGCATCTATCAACACTAATTAACAATCCTGTGGTCTCACTTGCGTGTTCTTTTGAGCCGCTCCCCTTCGGGACAGCGGCACAATCACCCCCTGCCTTTGGGGCCGCTCCGTCCCTTCTGCGCTGATTGGAAGTGATAGCTGGGCTGCGTGTCCTGTCGGGTAGGGACAGGGCTGCTCTGGATGTGCTTCCTGGGCTGCAGCATTCCCTCTCAGTTTCTGCTGTCACCAGGGGCAGCCTGGGCCTCTGTGGGCACAATGCTGCCCCTGCTAATGACCACAGAATGAAAATGGCAGAGGGATTTGTTTTCAACACCTCTTTCTTCCAGTGGCTTTTTCACTTGTGGCACTAGAACTTAAAGGGCTGCTTCTCTAAATGAGCCAAAATAGGGGCTGTCTCCTGCATTTTGGTGAAGCTGGAGCACAGTGAGGTTCTGTTCCCAGCTCTGCACTAACTTTTCAACAGTAGATCAGGTGCTTGTTCTGGCAAAATGGTCCCAAGAATTTATCAGTGTGAGACCTAAAACAAATTGTCTTCCTTTTATTGCTGTTACAGTGCAGGGACTGGAGGATGGCAGTAAAAAAAGTTACAAATACTAATAAACTTGCCAGGCAGACTGACATAGCTGAATTGACCGGCCACGGGGGATCCTACCAGAATAATTAAACTGCTCCTTCCCTACATTTCCCTGTTTAAAAACAGGATGAGTTGAGAGAAAGATGTGTCTGCAGTCAGGTTAGAGAAGGGTTTGTTCCTCTGTTTTTCTCTGGTCAGATAGGTGTTTGCTGGAGAATGCTCAAGTTGTCTGATTCCAGCCTCCTCCTCTATTTTGTGCTGGCTCCGCGGAGCTAGTGAGGCAAGGAAAGAGCACCTGAAACTTACCCGAAAGAGCCCTACCAGAGGATATAGGTATTCGCTAAAACAGATCTTCAGAAGTTTCTCATGCACTCAAGTACAAAACAGAAAGAGCATGGCTTAACTCTGGTAACAGGGCTGGATGATGCTGAAGAGGGAGGAGGGAGAGCATTAGGGGGTTCAGGAAGGGGAGAGAATACAGAGGACATGTTGGGGGTCATTGTTTTATTTAGAAGTGGAACATAATTCATCTGGGCACAACGAAATTCGCAATAACACTTCATGGTGTTGGCTTCTGTCTTGACTGGAAGTCAAGCAGTTTACCTTCTGGAGCAGAAGCTAACTGTATAGGTAAAATAACAGATTTAAGCAGGCAAAATAGAAGGGAAGCTATTAAAATATCCCACTAGGAATACTGAAGTACCTGAAGTGTGTGGAGAGGCAGGTGGGCTGTGTGTGGTGCTCCCAACAGAAGAGAGGGTTGTGGAGCTTCAGCAAATGAAATTTAAGTGACTGATGAAAGCGGTGTGCACTTACTTGACAGTCTCTGTTGTTCAAAGTGCCAGGTCTCAAAGAAACCCTCTTGTTTTGGTCTCAAGTTGCTGTCTCTTATTCTAGGAATGTCACGTTTGTAGAAGCCTTTCCATGATGCCAGGAGGGAAGATTTGTTTTGGATAGAGTTTTCCTACGAATCTGTCTCGTTCAGGGAGGAAAAGCAATGCTTAGGGAATTATTTGAAGTGTTCTTAATCCTGGAGCATCACAGAGTGTAGGGGATGGTGAATATTCCTAATTCTGGAGTATGGGAAAGTATATCCTAACCCAGAGAGTCCTGAGTCCAGAGAAGCCAACAAGAACGCCCTGAAAGAGGCCTTTCAGGTCTGTCTTGCTGTGTTCAGATAAAACGTCAGTGCATCCACATCACCGAGTGAGTTATAAACTGATGCACTCTAGAAAATGATTGACAGAGACCTTCCCATACCCTGGTCCTTCTCTTCCTGGCATTCCAGCAGCTTTCTCTGACTCGTTGGCTGCAGGGAGCTGTTGATCCCACTGTATTCAGGCATGAAGGCTTTCAGAGCATGCTGCAGTGCTCACAATGTCAGTAACGATTTCTGGCTAACGCAGCTTTTTGGTGGTGTCATCTCTCATTATCACATGGGCTTTCCTTGGGCTTTTCCTTGTCTCTCATTCAGAATTTTGACCTTCCTTATTAATTAAACAGCAACATTCCTGCAGCCAGTGATTGAGTTATTCGGTAATACCTGCCTAAAGCCATCATAATAAAGGACAGAAGTTCTTGTTAATGCAAATGTTTTGGTTCCAGATGTTTTGATCACATTAAACGGTGACTCAAATTAACCAGTGACTGGATTAAGCAACAGGCTACCTTGGCTGCTTTTTTTAATCATCGTGATTCCTAACATCTTTGGTTCCCAGAGCAAGCCCTCAAGAAGACAGTGTAGCCCCCAGTTTTCTTCTACATGAAAATGGTGAAATAAAAATAACAGAGAGAGCCAGGAGATGTATATCATAGGTGCTGCATTCTTCACAGCGAAGATCTTTCCTCTCCATAAATGTTACCTGCTACCAAGATGCTGCTCTGACTTGCGATGTTCTAGGAAGGAATTATTCAGGGTGTACAAGAGCCTCTGTAGTCCTGGAAATGACTGTTATATACCTTGTCCAAGGCTTTTCAGGTTCTACATGATCTTTCTAGAGTCTAAGCAAATTCCTGTATAGGGAATAGATGTGTTAGTGGATGGTTCTTGGACTTGGAAGGCAATATCCAGGGCAGGATTCGGTGGCTTGATCACTTAACTTTGAAAACAATTTAAGGTTTCCAAGATAAACTATTTAACCATTTGAATAACTTATCTGAGGATGGGCAGCAGATATTCCCTCTCCTAGTTAGTAAATTGTGAGTAGATACCTTTCTGAAATGAGGCTGCACTCAGCTGCAGGTTACAGGTTTAATCTAAGTAACAGTCTCTGTACTGCTTACGGAGGTCAGAATAGGGAGTTGCAGAGGGATTTTCTGGTGTGAAATCTTGCTGTTTCTACCAAGGATTTATTATTTGAAGCTGAGCAAGAAGAGTGAGTCTACAAACTTGACATGTTGTCTTTTGTTTGTTTGTTTTCTTTCCCTGGTTTCTCCATGCAGCTCGGATTGGAAAAATGAAACGGAGGAAGCAAGACGAAGGGCAGGTATGTCCCCTCTGCAGCCGACCTCTGTCAGGATCCGAGGAGGAGATGAGTAGGCATGTGGAACAATGCCTTGCAAAGGTAGAGGCGCAGCAGGATCACCAGCTGCCATTCCCTTCTCCCTACTCCCAGCTTTGTCTGCAGTTGACCTAACATGGGGCAAAAACTAACATTGCTGAGCTTGCAGGCAATGCTAACTGTCTCCCTAAGATCTGTAGTCACTTCTCTTTGTCTTGGAAGATGGATCCTTCTGGATTTTCCTCCTGTGTTGCATTAGTTACTTTTTGCACCCTTTTGCTGTTATTGAAGTCTAAGTTGTAGACTGTAAATGTAGAGATATTGTAGTTTATGAAGCCTTTTGTAGGATGTCATACTTCTTATGTACCACAGCAGGAAGAGTTCTTCTGATCTCTGCCTTTGACAACATTAGAATTCTTTTTTGTTGGGTTCTTTTGCAACAAGCTGGCATTTGTAAATGTTGCATGACCATCTTGCTCCAGGAAGTGCATTTGAGCAGGACTGTTCTCTTGCTGTTCATCCCAAAGACAGAAAGGAAGAAGGAGGAGCAAGCCCTAGGGGAGGGAGAGAGTTGTGTCATAGGGCTTTCTGTGCTTGTTTCTCAGGAAAAGCCCACAATAGAGATGGTAACAAATTCATTCTTGTTGTCTCAAGAGCTGCATGGTATAAAGAGAGATGTCTTTTTGATCTGTGTG